GCAGAAGCTCCTGCCTGGGTCCGCAGCTCAGTGTTGGGGCTCCTGGTGAATGGGGAGCTGGAGAGAGACAGAGAAGGATGTAGTCCTCGACAGGCCCTCAAAACTCATTAAGTGGCCTTCCAGCTGAAATAATTGCCCTCCCCTGGCCTAACATCATCTGTACAGTGATAACAGTAACATAAATGGATATAGCATAACATGGGCTTTTCAATGAAACTACACATGCCGTATCAGTGAAATAAACACAAGGAACCACTCATGGCACCCCACAACCCCCAGAACATAACAGTTCATGACATTATGCTCATCAGACCTTGTAAAAAGACGGTGCATAATCTTGCAAACAGTGCAGCATGTGTGCAAATTTGCTTATTTGGATAATCCCATTAGGATGCAATTTAATAAAGATAAATGTAAGGTACTCCACCTGGGAAGGAGGAACCCCCAGCACACCTATAGGTTGGGGAGTGTCCTTCTCCGCAGCTCGGAGGCAGAGAGGGATCTTGGAGTCATAATTGACTCCAAGATGAACATAAGCTGGCAGTGTAATGAGGCCATCAACAAGGCCAATTGCACCTTGTTGTGCATTAGCAGGTGCATGACTAATAGATCAAAGGAGGTGATGCTCCCCTTCTACGTGGCACTGGTCAGGCCGTAGTAGGAGCACTGTGTTCAGTTTTGGGCGCCGCACTTCAAGAGGGGTGCAGGGAATCTGGAGAGGGTTCAGAGGAGGCCACTCGCATGATTAGTGGCCTTCATGATAGCCCCTACGGGGTGAGGTTGAGAGAGCTGAATCTCTTCAGCCTTCACAAGAGATCTTGTGGTCACCTATAAATTTATTAGGGGAGGTCAACAGGGAATAGGGGAAGTGCTGTTTACTAAGGCGCCCCAGGGAGTGACTAGGAATAACAGGTGTAAACTAGTTGAGAGTGGATTTAGGTTAGATATTAGGAAGAAATTTTTCACAGTAAGGGTGGCCAGGTTCTGGAATGGGCTTTCAAGAGAGGTGGTGCTACCACCTAGCTTGGAGGTCTTCAAGAGGAGGCTAGATAGTCACCTGGCTGGGATCATCTAACCTTGGTCCTCTTTCCTGCCAGGAGTAGGGGGTCGGACACGATGATCCATTGTGGTCCCTTCCGACTCTACAATCTATGAATCTAGGAATTATGGTCTATGTAAATTCCAGGTAATATTACATTTCCCTGTAGTGATGTTCTGTTAGTATCTACTAGATAATTCTGGACTGTCAGTGATTTAGGGTTTTATGAATGTCTCTTCCTTTTGGCAGCACTATAAATACATTTTTATTTCACCTGATACTAGGTCTTCAGCACCAAGTGCTATTTCAATTCCCAGGGCTCATGATGCAAAGAATTTAACTTTTATAAGAGCTATAAAATGAAGCTTGATAATGTTACCTTTTTAACGTGGCAAAATATGATAATCCGCACAAGCTTTTAATTTAATTTCTAAACTTAACTGTAAAGTGTAGATATTTTTAATTCATTTTAAATATGTATGATTACTAGATCATCATTTTTCCTTCACTTTTCTGTAATAGAGATGTGAAATTCTTGTTAGCTGATCTGTACTGGCACGCACTGCCCTGAGTAAAAAAAAAAAAAAAAAAAAAAATCACTTGAGAAGTCACCTGTATACATCCAGGCTAAAATGATAAAAATAACAATAATCTCTCTCTCTAGATATATATAGGGTACACTTATGCAAACTGTGAGATGGAACTGATTTGTGGATAAATCTATAAACAAAGATTTATTACCTCTTAAAAAAAATCCTGATGTGGCTGCTCTCAAAATATTGAGGGGAGACTGAAGTGCTTTGAATTTCAGTACTAGAAATAACAAGTGCCCCTTGTGCATTGATAAAGATAGAAAGGATGATTGGTGGAAGCTGTCCAAAGTAGTGCGAAGGGTAGCCACATGTGTTCAAAATCACACCAGATTCTAGGCTTTAAAAGCCTCATCTATACTGCAGGTATTTAACATGTTAAATATAGATTAGTCCCCCCAGTAAGGCAATTTTTTTTCTTTAGAGTCAATCAAATTAATGTGGCTCTTTTGCTAAGGTAGAGCACGGCTATTTGATGTTTAATTTTTAATGTGGTATACTACTTGATTGCATGGTAGAAATGTAGTGGAATACATAAAACTTGAGCTGCTTATTTTATGAGCATTATGTTCATATAATATCTGTTCGTCAGACCAGGTTGAAGAATGTCATGAGATCATCAAAATGACCTGAAGTGGCAGACTGTTGGATAAATCTGGATTACTTTCCAGGAGAAAGAGTAAAAAAAATTAGGAAATCTGCATTGATTCTTTGGGCAAGTGAAATGGTATTATGAGATACAAATTGTATTAACATAATTACCAAATAAGGTATTTGTACTCCTTTCAATGTTGTCTGGTAATCATTTGAGATACTTTCTATCAAAAAGATCAGTTAAATGTGAAAAGGTGAATTAACAAATAAAAAGAAAGACGAAAGGTTCTGTTTCATGTATACACACTGAATATCTCCAAGAGGAATGAATCTGAGCATTCTAAAGACGTGTTGACATTGTGGGAATTCTTCAGAGACATAATTTTTTAAAAATAATTTTTGCTCAAAGTATAGAGTCATTGATGTTAGTAGCTTAGTGTTGCTGGAAAATACTCTGCAATGGTCTATGGTCTTTTCTTTTGAATGTGTTAATGACCTATTGTCCCTTGTTTTTGGGTGGGTTTTTTGTCCCTTATATGCAAGAGCTGATGCTTAGATATTTTTTTTCTGGCCGGTTAAGACTTGCCAAAAGTATCTGCTGCTGGGGAGATTATTGCTAAAACGCTTAGAAGGAAATGTATAGAAAAAGACATTATATTACCTATTGTATTATCATAGTGTATTTTTTCTCCTGCTGTTAAGATAATGTCAGTATATATTTATTTGAAGTTTGTGTTTTAGCCATTGTTCTACAGTTTTGTAATGCTGTATAAAAATGATTGAATTAAAAACTCTCTTGATCCATAAAGTGCTAGCTTGGGGCTGACTACATGCCTCATCGTGCAGGCCACCATGAAGGAAAAAGCAAATGTTAGGCACAACTTTGTTTCCCTACTCCAGCTACTTGTACTGTGGGTAGCAGTTCCGAGGAAAGAGGAGCCTCTGTGATTGTTCACTTTTTTCTTCCTTTCTATTAAAGAAAACATGTTAAAAAAACAACCCCCCAAAACAAACAAACCAAAAAACCCCAAACCCCAAACAAACCCAAAACCAACCAAATCCTTTTTAGCTAGTGTGGCTATGATACAGGAATATGGCATACAAGAGTTTTTGCCTTGAGTTAATTGATTGTCAGTTAATTTGAGACAGCTAATACTTTTGAATTGGTTACTCAAGTAATTCCTGAAGCACTAGTACCTTTCTGTGCATATGGATATAAACAAACAGGGAATGAGTGGAATTTGCGTTTGTGCCCCTTCCACATCAGTCAGGCTAACTGCACTAGTAAATTAGAAGCAATGTGGGGTACATGAAACACAGATTGCACCTAGGGAACAGATTGTGGCTCTTTGGCCCCTGGTAGATGTTACACTATTTAACTGTGTCTTAAATAGTAACCCAGCCACGCATTCAAGTGTTTCATGGTATGACAAAATGGGAAGCCAGTCATAAAATTATTCCACAAAATACAATATTTACTCAAATCAAAGGCAAGGTTTTTTTTCCAGTCAGTCAGCATGGGGGAAAAACATGCCTCATCTTGGATTTGAGTAACAGCTCTCAGACTCTGCCCTGGCCTCGGGCCTTTGGCCTAGCCTGGAGCTTGAGCTGAAGCTGCCAGGGCTGCTGCTGCAGCTTGGAGTCAGCAGCCATGTAGTCCTCAGCAGCGGACTGAGTGTAGGTCAAGGGCCAGGCATAGGGTCAGGGATCAGGTGGGGATGCGGCAGCAGCACCCCTTTCCTCAGGGTACAAATTACATTCAGACTCTTAAGGGGAGGTCTGTGGTGGTGGCAGCCAGAAGCTGGAAGGAGCCACTGCCTGAGTTGCTTAGAAAGGCACGGTGCAGGCCAGGGCTCTTATCTCTTATGGGGGGGCTCTCATGGGAGGTATCTCTAATGGGAGGGGGCTTGGGGGGCTCTTGTCTCTTTGGGAGGCCTGAGCCCCCCCCCCAACCTTACCCCCCCCTGTATTTCAAACCCTGCCTTCTCCCGGACTTTGAGATTAGGGCAGGGATTATGCAGCAGTGTGGGGAGTCAGGGATTGGGAGGGTCAGAGACTGGGTGGGGAATGGGCAGCAGTGCAGGTCAGAAATTAGGTGGGGCATGGGGTAGCAGCATGGGTCAAAGGATTGGACAGCAACATGTGCTACTGCCCCATCCTGAAACTGTGCTACTGCCCCATCCCGCACCATGGGCAACAGTGTGGGTCAGGGAGCCAATTTCCCAGCCATTGGACTGTGATGTAGCCGAAGCTGCAGTTGGCCAATTTTTCCGTGAGATGATCATGGGACACCTTATCAAAGGCTTTTTTAAAATCAAGATATATGAGGTTAATCTCTTCTCCCTTGTCCAGGTGATATATCACCTGGTCATAGAAGGAGATGAGATTGGTCAGGCAAGACCTACTCATAACAGACCCATGCTGGCTATCCCTCAGGATGTTGCCATCAGCCAGTTTGTCAAGAATGGTCTCTGATAATTTTTTCCAAAATCTTCCCTAAGATAGAGGTCAGGCTGATAGGCTTGTAGTTCCCTGGATCTACTTTCCCCCTTTCTTGAAGATAGGCACCACATTGGCCTTCTTCCAGTCTTCGAGCACTTCACCTGAGCATCATGAGTTCTCGAAGATCTGTGCTAGTGGCTGAGCTATGATGCCTGCCAGCTCCTTAAATACCCTGGGGTGTAAACTGTCTGGGCCAGCTGATTTGAAGGTGTCCAGCCTGTCAAGGTGTTCCTTCACATGGTCTACATTGATGAAGGGTAACCCTGGCCATCCCGTGCCATACTGAGTAGGGCTGTCCCTTGGGGCTGGTGAAAAACCAACACAAAATACCCGTTAAGCAGGTTGGCTTTTTCCTGGGCGTCGGTTGTCAGTTGTCCCATCTGGTTTAGCATGGGTCTAGTGTTACCCTTGCGTTTCCTCTGGCTCCTCACCTATCTAAAAAAGGACTTTTTATTGTCTTTGATATGTGTAGCCAGTTGGAGTTCAGTTGCAGCCTTGGCTTTTCTGGTTCGTTCCCTACAGGTCTGGACCACTGCAGAATACTCCTTCTTTGGGGTGAATCCAGTCTTCCATCCTTTATAGGTCTTTCTTTTTAGGTGCAGGAGGTCCACAAGTTCCCTGCAGAGCCAAGGGGCTGCTGTGACTTTCAGCTGCCTGATTCTGGGGTCTTTGTGTGCTGGGGCCTTAAGAAATCATGTGTGCAGCCCAGTTGCATGCATGGTTTTCTGACATCCCATTGTGTGGAGTTCTGGGTGCCGGTTGGAGACCTTGGTGTCATTCTGGGGATGAGGCTGATGATCAGCTTGGAACTGTACTGGAGTCTCAGACTAGCTCGACTGTGGTCCTGGGGCTGAAACTGACAATATGCTGATTGTCAGTCTCAGCCTTGGGACCCCACCAGAATCTCAAACTAGCTCTGATGCAGTCTCAGGGCTGAGACTGACATTGAAGTGATTGTCAATCTCAGCTCTGGGAATGCACCGCTTCCAATTTTCGGTGCAGGGGGAGCCCGGGATCATGATCCCAGACTCCCACTGCACTGGCAAGTATTAATGGTGTGACTGGAATCTGATCCCCCCAGCTGAAAATCGCACATCCTGCCATCCATGTGTGGCATGGCAGGAAGCGTGATCGCTGGGACCAGGAAACAGATCCCATTGTGCCATTAAATGAATTGTGCCGGGGTCTTAATGCCTGCACTTCTCTTGACTTCGAGAGGAGCCCAAGAATCATACTGTAAGCTGAACTAGTTTATGAGAGAAAAAATAGGTTCAGCAATGGGTTATTGTAAAACATTGTTGTGTTTTCAAAGGATTGTTCCCTAGATTCTACTGCAAAGCAAGTAGACATTTTAACTGCATTCCAACGAGGAAAGGGAAAGGAACATAATGAACAGAATCTATCAGAATGCATATCAGTGTACAGTTCCTCCGACTCTGAGTTAGAGTTAAGAAGCCTAGCTATTCTTAAACGTATTGCTAGTTGAATGGTTCCAAAAGCCTGATAGAAAATCCCTTTTTAGAATAAATCCATGGCATTATATAATTGGTTAATAATAATGATGATGATGATGATGACTACTTAATAATAATGGCTACTGTCACCAACAGCTTTGATATCTGCAACATCTACTCTACATTGAGAAAATTTGCCTCAGCTATGCAGCCTAAATTTATATGAACTAAGCAGTAATACAGGTCACTCACTCAATGCATGTAAAATCTAAACTCTGATTCCAGTGGCCAGATTGAATCAGTGTAATGGTTCCAACTCTCCAAACGAAAGTCAGTTAATAATGATCAGGTATGGACAAAAGTCCAAAGTCAGGTAGTCTCAATCTCATAAAGGGTGAGAGAAAAGAAGCATCATGTTAGTCTAGAAAAAATTTGCTTTTTTGGGGAGTACCTATGGTGCTTTATCATTTCAAGACAGTAGTTAAAAACTGATCTCAGTAAGCAAGAGGATCATTCCTTCTTTCAAAACAAAAGAGTAGAGTTAGTTGAAAAAGCCAAATATATTTCATGAAAAAATGTAGAAGGAACTAACAAAAAACTCAAAAATTTTCATAATTTTTTTGGATAAAATATATTAAACCTATACTTTTAAAATGTATGACAGACGTTTTCAAAACGTTATATTTGTGGGAGAACTAAATTCCATTTTCCAGTTGAGAAAGTGAGCAGGCAAGGGTGAGAAAAAGAATGAGAGAGGTTTTTGCTTTCTCCTTTCCTTTCATTAAAATATGGCAAGAGAGCATAAGAAAGACAGAGAACTTTTGCTACCAGAATGAAACTTAAAATTGAAAATTGCAACACAGTTATGTGCATCTACCTCACAGAAACAAATGATGCCATCCGTTAGTAAAATAGCTGGGCATTTAAAGAGCTGGTTTGAGCTGTTTGGTGATTCTAGTACAGGGGTGGGCAATTATTTCAGCCCCTTGAGGGCCTGCTGCCTACTGTTGCCACTGGCTGGGTGTGGGTGGG